CTGATCAAGTTCGCGGACGACACCACCCTCATTGGACTCATCTCCAACAACGATGAGTCCGCCTACAGGAGGGAGGTGGACCGGCTGGTGTCCTGGTGCAGTGGTAACAACCTGGAGCTGAACGCCCAGAAGACAGTGGAGATGATTGGGGACTTCAGGAAGAGCACTGTCCCCCCGCCCCCACCCTCCGTGATGGACTCCCCCATCACCTCTGTGGAGTCCTTCCGTTTCCTGGGCACCACCATCACCCAGGACCTCAAGTGGGAGCCGACCATCAGCTCCCTCATCAAGAAGGCCCAGCAGAGGATGTACTTCCTGCGGCAGCTCAGGAAAGCCAAGCTGCCTGCACAGATGTTGGTGCAGTTCTACACGGCCATCATCGAGTCCATCCTCACCTCCTCCATCACCGTGTGATTCGCTGGAGCCACAGTCAGGGACAAACAGAGACTACAGCGCATTGTGCGCTCTGCAGAGGAAGTGATCGGCCGCAGCCTTCCATCGCTGCAGGACCTGTACGTCGCCCGAGCTCGAGGCCGGGCTTGTCGTATCACAGCCGACCCCTCTCACCCTGCACATGGACTATTCCAACCACTCCCCTCAGGCAGGAGACTGCGGTCCATCAGGACTAGAACCTCCCGCCACAAGAACAGTTTCTTCCCCTCTGCTGTTGGACTCTTGAACACTTCTTAACCTGTCCCCCCGCCCTTTATAAAGTCACTTTACTGCCCATCATACGTCACTTTACTTCACTGTACTGCTGTCACCTTACATTGTGTGCACCATGTGCACTTGTATATTGTAAATAGTAACTGTAACTCTATTTTAAATTTAAATTTATTCTTTAGAAGTGTTTTTTATTCTTATTTTTATTATCTCTTTTTGACTGTTGCACTGAGCCAAAGCAATTTCCAAGTCTGTGACCTCCTGTTACTTACGTGGCAATAAAAATGATTCTGATTCTGAAAAGCAATTTTTAAGTGTCTCAATGGATTAGCCCCTAAAGTAATTTGTAAACATATCCAAAGGTACAGCAGTGAAGCTGCAGTCAGTGAGAGCTGCAGAGTGAGAAGGAGCCGGACGACTCTGGGTCAGTCTGCAGTCTCAGTGAAGGCCTCACATCTGTGGAACTCTTTGCCACTGGACCTTAAGTCACAGTCGGACATTAGACTTTACTCCACAAACCTGAAAATGTGGCTTAAAGATGCTATACCCAATTTTTTTTTTTATGAGTTCTTAAAAATGCTTATTACTACATACAAGTTGCATTATAATTTGTAATCTAATTGAAAACTTGAGCTCATTGCTTCAGAATGTGTATGAATTCAGGTCGTAAAAAGTGCTGGGTAGAGACTTAGCGTGACACTCGTTTTCCTCCAATCCCAGAAGAGGAGCGACGCTATTACGAACAGGCTGCGTCCTCTAGCCTCTACAGCCCTGGTAAGCACAGTATAGCATGTTAGCAGAATTGGCTATAACTCTTCTTGCTGAAACTGCACACAGCAAAACAGTCCAAACAATGCAACAGTGAGGAAGAGAAGAGGGAACTAAAGCGAAAAAAATGATCAAGGAAGAAATCAAGCCCGGGTGAAGATTGCTAGCTTACATCGTATCCTCTGGAGAGACTTGTCTATGGGAGAGACCTGCGGGACCGCCTCGGACTATCTATGCTCGGACTACATTCGGAACGCGAAACAAGCGGTAATCTTTCAGTTATATATTTTGTTAGCAGTGCGTTGCTTTTGTACCATTTCATCAGTGATTGATGTACAGCTTACAAGAAGTTGCGCTCATGCTAATGTTTGCATATGTCTCAGATCGCAAATAAAACTAGATGGCTCCGTGGGATGAGAGCGTAGGGGAAATGAGAAGCCTGTGAGCGAGTTGGGGAGCGGTGCTAAACATTCAAACCTTGCATAAACGGGTATAGCTCCTTTAAGGAAAATCAGAAGTGTGAGACCTAAAACCAATTATTATTTGTATTGATGTCTGTTATTCTCCCCTTTAAAACCAAAAAAAAATACTTGTTTCTTCACTGTTCTCCAAGAGCCTGACCAGGGACGGGGGTTGCAAACTAGCCTTTGGCTAGAAGCCCCATGTACTTGACATTGGTTACCTATGGGTGACATTGGTCCCTATGGACCAATGTCCTATGACCACTGTGCACACATGTTAGGGACATTTATAGGATGTTTCAGTGTTTATTCTTATACATTTAACACACATCTTAAGTAAGGATAAGTGAAAATATAAAGAAAAAACAAAAAAACACTCAATATCATCTGAGAGTGGATCAAGTCTAAATTACGATTGCAAAATCTTGAGCTAGAGAATTATTATTTGGTAATTGGCTGCTGTTAAATGAGTATTAAAAGCATTTACCGCAGAAGGTTATAGACATTTCACTAAATGAGCATCTCAATATGATTAGCATGCAATTGAGTATTGTCAGCACGCAGGGGATGTTTAAGAAAAAAAGAATTAAAAACCACAGCTCAGGCTTTCCAGCAGTGAAGCATGCTGCATGAGGAGCCTATTACGGAGTGTGCTGCCGTGCTGAACACTTCCTCCTGTTTCATGTTTAACCCTGCTCATTTCCCACAGTAAGAACTCCGGAAACAAAGTGTGCACAGCAGCTCGGGGGAAGATGACTGATGGCTTGTTGTCATGATGTTTGGGATTCTGCCGACTCTTGGCTCACTGGAGCTGTGAATACTCCAGCACATACAATAGGCCATTAGTGAAAAGCACGGGTATTAGTCAACTACTACTTCAATGTCATATTGTTGAACCTGCACAGAATATACTCATCTGTAATGTTTCTGGCCATTACAGGGGTTCCTTGTGGTCATACCTCCTTGTCATGTCGTTAGATCTCAAATGCAAAGCCTGGTAAGTACATGGATGGAGAAGACCAGGTGCACACAGGGGAGCCACTGAGGCTTTGGTGCAGACTGAAACTGTGTCTTTAAGAAAGACACTTCATCCCCACTGCAAAGACGTGGAAAAATGCACCAACATCATTCTGCATTTAACAGCAGCTGCGAAAATGGAAACTGAATCAATAGCTTTGCGTGGATTCGTTTGTGGACAAACGAAGGAGTAGAATTCTTCTCTGTGTAGCGCTCCAAGCACATGTAGCTAGATGGTGTACTCGCCGCCATTGTTCTTTACGTTAGTTCTCTCCTACTGCACATGTCCAAATGTACGTGCGAGGAAGTGGTGAGGTCATAGCAGCAGAGAATTCACACCTTTTTCTTCACACAGCTGTGAAACAGCCCACGCTGAGCAGCGTATCTGTTCTGTTCCACTCTGGAGGCTGGTTCTCAACGTTTGCGTTTCCCCCTGAAACACCGTCTCCATGTAAAGGGGAGGCCAAACCGATACCCAACTCTAACGTTTACCGTCGCAGCGTCTCTGTATAAACGGGGCAAGAGTTGAACAGAACAGATACGCTGCTCAGCGGGGGGTTGCGGCGGGTACACTAAAGCCATGTTCAGACCACCGACGCTGGAACACAGTTTCCACGCGCACTGGACGCACATTCTCTAAATTTCAGACACTAGGGGTGTTCAGACCAGAAGTCCTGGGCTGCGGTGTTAAGCTAGCGGCTTTTTGTGTAAAGTTCTTCTTCAAGAATGCAGCTCTGCAGCGTCTCTGTGTCCAGAGACCTTCCAGAGACTTTATATAACAGCAATATGTGTTCATGGAGGTGCGCCATACGTTTATTTTATAATTAGACGGTACTTCCGCATCGGCAAACATGCTAGCTGTGCTACTTTACAGTCATTGGAGAATGACAACTCAGGCTGGAGGCATATGTTCACAAGCACAGAGTCCCCCATTGTCAACCCTGGTTTAATCCTGGTTTGGCTCCTGTTTTGGCTGTTTACAAGTATTTTCTGTCTGCTGCTCTCTGATTGGTTGCTGCACGAGTGTGCCGAGGAAATAGTTCAGCAATGTTTATCTCCTGTGAGCGTCAATTTTCCGCTTCTGTGCCTCTGCCGCGCCTCTACCGTGTGGCCCATGCGTGCATGCCGAGATGCACATGCAGTTCCACGCTCGAACACGCGTCACCATTGACTTTGCATTGAAAGTCGCTGCAACGCATGATCCAGTCTGAACGCGGCTTAACACGCTACGTGTGCTTCGAGCACTATACAGAGGAGAATTCTACTTTGTTCGTCCAAACAAAACCACGCAAAGCTGTAGTTTCAGTTTCCATTTTCGCAGCTGTTATTCTGCTGGGGGTTGCGTGTGTCGTGTTGTAAAGTTCCACTGCCCACTACTGGCCGGGCGTTAGAAATACATTGTTATCCGTAGTCATCTAAACGCTGCGCAGGAGCCTGGTCGTTTTTGCAAGTTGTCTGTCTGCCGTCCGTAAAGGAGTTTCTGTCGTCTGTTGGCTGTTTATACATCCTGATCAAATAAACAAAAGTTGTATTTCTATTCTGTGTTACTGTGGTAAAGCATCCCTATATTATTGAGATTATTACTATGTAATTCACTTTTTGCTTAATACATATCGTTTGTCGTGAAAGTAAAACTTTGTAAAGAAATCAGACCGCAAAAAATACATGCATGTGAAACAATGTTTTGAGCGCTAGAACTAGTTAGATTTCATTACAAAGTTTATATTTTCTTTAGTCGTAAAAGGCGATGAACTTTGTTCTGCCAGCTCGGGCAGCAAGAGCAATGTGATTATAGTACGTACAGCTGCTGTCCTGCAGTTATCACAGCCAGTTCATGACAGCTGAGTGGGAACTGACTGATGTTAGATACAATAAAATACTGGAAATATATTGTTTTGAATATTGAAGCAAGTCCTTGGTTAAAAAGGAAACTACAAACAGGATCAAATCAGTGTTATATTTGCCATATCATAAGGATTGGATGAGTGCGACTTATCTCTCATCCAATCTTTGTGATGTGGTGGTAATGAATCCATTGTAGCTCCTCCTTCAGGTAGGGTGGTCTAACCCAGGCCTAAAATTTGTGTTTGTTGGGTTTGTTTAAGTCTTGCTAAACTGCATGGATGAGAGTGTCTTAGCTGTGCATTAGCTAAGACTTTGAGGCGGGACTCAGATCTGTGAGTTTCTGTTGTGTGTGGGCTGTGTACACAAAAGGCTAAATCTTTCTCTTCACATCACCATTCATCAAAAATGTCAATAATTTAGAAAATTCTGACATTTGCTATCAATCAAAAGGACAGCCATCTTTCAGCGGGTCAATGTGCCACACTTGATTATGTGCTTGTGCCTTGTTCTTTGTCTCACCTGCCATTTTACAGCTCCATTATGAAGTGCCTGAACTGAGGATCTCCATAAACACTGTAACACTGTGAACATGTTGTCATTCTGCCCTCCTAGAACTACATTAGCTCCGCTGCTCTCTGTAGCCAGCGGTGATAGTCGTCTGTCAGCACTGGTTAATTCCCATCTTGTGAGGGTCAAGAGCTGACGCATAATGAGCTTTGACAGTGTTGGAGGGTCTGCTGTCGACAGTGGCCCGAGCATCCGAATGTCAAGTCCATAATGAACCCATAGTGGTAATCCAAACACCTCTGATCCTGAGGCCTCTGACGCCTATTGATACACATGAGAGTATGGACACAAAACAAATTAACATCACTCAATATTGGCTCTCTCTCGCAGACACCTCCACCCAGGACCTGTCATGTTTATCTCACCTCCAGTCAAAGAAAGACAATTGTGATTTTGATGGAAAATGTTTGCACTCACTTACAAGATGGTGTTTTATTGGATAGAGGGGGAGAAAAAAGTCACATTTCAGCCTGTTTCTAATGGTTTCCTGTTTTTTAGAGGCAAATTAAATTGACATTACATTTCAAGTATCAACCCAAATTGTAAGATTATTCTCTTTCTTTTGTCTTGAGAATTCCAATGCAAACTGTGGTTTAGGCAACACAAGCTGTGCTGTGAAAGGCAGACGACTAAAGATGACTTAATGTGAGCATAGAACTTCTGTTCTAAAAGGTGTTGAGTACAAAACACATCAAATATGCTAATTAGACATATGGCACATTGAAGAACAAACAATTTGATTTGGTATTTGTGTCCTATGTAAAAGGTTACTAGGTTTTGAATGTGATTTGAATGCATCCGAGGGCTGTAATGACACAGGTTTCAGTCGATTTTTTTTAAAGGTAATTTGCATATTAGAAAGAAGAGATTGCTCACACCTGTTTTTTTCCTTTACCCTACTGCCCATTGCCCCATCCTCCCTCTGCTGAAAGCCATTACAGAAATACAATTTCTAATACCTTTGCACAGGTCTTCGATCGACTGCAAACAAATTTATATTCAGGCGGTAAACAGAAAGCTGCAGAGATTTATTTATTGAGTGTGGAGGAGAGAAACAAGCTAGCGCGTGAACCCTGAGTAACCTCCGAGCTGACATAAAGATGGATCAGTGCGCCATGCAAATGCACGGAGAGAAGGGATATATTGCACTCAGTCATTCAGCACATCGCTGCCTGTAGAATCCCATTAACGCCCACAGCTGGGACCACATCTCTGTGTTGGAAAGGCACTTAGAAGTTGTCTGTTACAGCGTTTTTAATTTTCCTAATAACTGGGCTTATCATAGAAACGTAAAGTTTTACTTTAATTGTTAACCAATTACAAACATAAATGATTACAAATAAATATTAAGTGATTAATCAATGATTATAAACATAAACATAGAAACTTGCTTCTTTGGAAGGTTTAGGGTCCAGCTTTATGAATAATTTGGACAGATATGTGGCGGTCCATGGCCAAATAGGCCTATTGTGAGTGGTTGGCTCTCTCTCAGAAACATGCAGAAGTTTGTATATTAGTGAAAAACTGAGTCATCAATGAACAAATATGCACAATAAAACCTCATTTGGAAAAGTTATTCCTTTTTTATGCATATCCTAAAAAACGAGGCCAACTACACAGAGAATCCTTGTGCTGCCAAGCTGTCCATGTTTGATAAACATGTATTCTCTGTCAAGGAAACTTCTTGATCTTTGCTCCAAGCATTTTTGGTTTTGTTAGAGGCTAATTACAAATGTGCTGCCACTGAACTCATAAAAGCAGCTGTCAGGACCTCTGAACCCATTAAGTGTGTCTTTCATATGACCTAAGGCCTTTACTAAAAGGACTTGACTCATTAGCATAATCCATTAGCCACATCATTGTAGCTGTATTATGCCCATCGAAAGATATAGAAAAGTGTTATTGTTTACTTCTCTTTTTAAAGTAGAAAAGCATCATCTACATTTAGTAAGTACTAAGTAACAAAAAGTGTCTCGCTACCTGGAAAGGTTAGTCTGACAAGGGCCAATTTCCATCAAACTTTTTATTATTTATTTCTTTAAAGTTGGTCTTTTTTCATTTTCATTAAATGTTGAAGTTAGTCTGTTTGACTACTTGCTGTTTTGGCCTCATCAGCGTTGTCTTATGTGATCACAGTCCGGCTATTGGTCCATGCTGGCGGGGAGGGCACGTCATCTCATCAGTCAGGGGCCGCTGTCTCTGTGGAATGTCCTGCGGTGTCCAGCTGCCCGGCCATGCGTTACTTGAAGCAGAGAGGCCGGCCATGAAGCCAAGTCCCGTCCAATGATTATGCAGGGAGAGGTGATAATGACTTCCCATCAAGAGGTAGCGGCCGCCGGGGAGAGTAGCCCTCTGTACGCAGGCGGTGCTGAGATAAAGAGGTCATAAACCCGCACCCGAGTGTGGGACACATGCTGAACAAACAAACTGTAGAGAAGTTAGTGAAGGTTTTCTCTGTGCATTATCCAGGGATGGTCGGACAGCCTCCTCCTCCCGGCTCCCGAGGGCTTGTGCACACCGGCCTGCCTCCACTCGCCTGTGTCCCCTGTCGGAACAGGCGCTCGGCTCCTGACGCACTTCATTTCGGACAAACCCGTCGATCTAAAAGCTGACATGAAGACTGACTCCGGGACTCAGCACGGCGGACAGTGTGCGCACTATGAGGACCGAGGGAATAAAACTTTTGAAAAGAAGTCAACGTGGACGTGGTAAGTTTCCTAAGAGGATCATTTGATTAGGATTATGTGTGCATTAGAAAATATTCTATATCAGGCAATTTATTTTTGATCAGACACAGTTTTTTCTTACTATTATAATTATATCAAACTCGTATCCAAGTTTGAAAAACGACAAAGGGGTGACGTATAATGCGCGTCACTCTGCGCCATCCTCTCCATCACCAATAAGGACAAGATAAAGCATTTTAAACAGCTGCCGGTATGTTAAGGACAGGCAAAGAGGCAAAGGAAGCTCTGGCCGCTCTGTGGACGTTTTATTTGAATATGCACACGAGTAGGCCCAGTCAGTGGGAGACTATTTCCTTAACGGTGCCATGAAGGTCTGTTACCTCTCATATTAATGCTCCTATACTTTAACAATAAGTATTTACAAGGAGTACTTCAAGCTTCATCCCATTCAGACTGGGTAACAATGAATTGCGTGTAAAGTAACCATTGAGTTTTAATAATAGAGCAGAGCACTGCCTTCAGACTCCCAGGAAGTTGAGTAAAAGTTAGTGTTGCAGCTGAAGTGCTCCTGAATATTGATCAGTTGTCTGTTTCTAAAGCGTATCGATTTCAGTTTGCAGCACCTTTACATGTGCCCACCTTCTTCACCTAATTGCTTTCACAGATCATCATTCTACTGGCAGATGCATTCTGGGCAGAGGCTATGATGATATGGCGTATGGATAAACAAAGATAGGGCTCTAAATAAATTATTCCGTAAAAGGGGTCTATTATAAAACCAATCATATATGTAAGTTCTTTCTTTTATTACAGTAAAGATATTCTTGTTTTTAATTAATACAGAAAGATTGGGTTATTACCTAAATTAAATATGCACAGAACTCAAATCTGAATGCTAAAGAACAAAAGATTATTGAAACTAAATGAACCCATTGATGTTATAAAACATAAGCTTGTTATTATGGCTTGGGTCCCTTAACATCAGTCTAGGTTTCTTTATGATGTACGTTAAAACAACATTAGTGTGCGTCTTAAACACCTGCATAGACATTCCTACTGAAGCCACTTTGGGGACTCTAAAAGGCATTAAGTTTGTCATTTCATTAATTAACACTTCCTGATCCTATAGTTCTTTGTTGCAGCCGCCAACGCACACCAGGCGTGTTGTGGTGTGACACATGTAACCTCTGTGAGAATCTCTCTGAAGGCGATCGTCTGGAGGAGGTTCTCATTACTGTGGAACTTGTAAAAGAATCATTAGTGAAAGTATATTTGCAGTACTTTGAGGTGCCTTGGATTTGGCACTAGACAAAGTGCTTGTGTATTGGTCAATGTAGAAAGGCCTCCACAGAGCCACATAGCCTGATCTCCTGGCTCAGAGTATATACTCCCAGTGCGTCATTCTTCAATTATGCTTTGACAGCACCTGAATTACTGTGGGCTGGATGCCCAGATGACTGAGGCAATGTGTATCGATCTATCCCTTTCTTCTTCCCTCTCCTTGGCTTGGAAGGCCCTCCATTCCCTTCACAGGCTGGCTATTTTTAAGCGCGCAAGCCATTCCTCAAATATTTAGTTTGATTTCTTTATGCCTTCTGGCCAGCATCAATTCTATTATCTTTGTAGTCATTAATCAGAATGTGCATGTGATTTTCACTCCTGGAAGCCCAGGTTTGTGTACAGGTTTGACCTTTTTATCCACTGCAAATATCTAGTATTATTGCAGACGGTGTTATGTCTGGAAATAAAAATACTTTAACAATTAACCAAATAAAATAAAATAGTTTTTTTGTAGAGCCCTAAATCCCAACAACAGTTGTCTTGAAAGACTTAGGAAATTGTTGATTTGCCAAAAGATAAGAAACTAAAACTTTAGATCAGCCTTTTCAGTGAGAGTACAGGCCCTCATTCAGGAGTATGTAAAATATTTTTTTTAAATGCATGTAAAGAAAAAAAAACGTTATAATAACTTGAAGACAGCATGTTGAGGTCTGATTTGTTGAGAAAATGTTTTTTGAGTCATTCTGTTGGGACAAACCGGTATTTATGAAATAACAACAGAAGTCATATTGTCAGCTTTAATGAGATTCTGATGAAAACCTATATAACATTTGATATTATAACATTTATCATTTCAGCCACATATTCGGCTCGTATCATACACTGACAACTTGCCGTAATGAAAATCCCATACCGCTCTCACATTTATTGCACAGAACAGGCAAAGATGATAGTTATGGAGGTCAGGACTTCAGGTCAAACAAAGAGAATGTTGTGTTAAATATTTTGAACACAGAACCTACAAGCAAAGAATCAATGATGTGAATAAACACAATGAAGAGAGACAGACTTTACGCTTCCACAGTAGTTTACTATCATTTTAGGCATTGAATTTATATACAGTCGTCGTGATTAAGGTACAGCTACTTAGTGCATAACTTGAACACTATACAAAAACAAAACATATTTACAAAAAACAAACAAACATGAAGACAATAGTTATAACAATATATAAATTGTCATGTTGGCAAGTTTCACAGATCACCAATTAACGTTATATGGCTAGCCCTCGTCCAATAGTGGGGGACATTTCAGTGTTGCAATGCACATGAATAATACAAATTCTAGATAGACTGTAGACTAGATAGACAGAGAGTCCAGTGATACTTCATCAATGCTTTAAAAATTCTTAAAGCATTCATACAGTAGACATGTGCAGCAAAGAAGCGTTACAAGAACAAAATAGTATTCATTACAAAACAAGAATATATTTCAGAGGATGTCGTTTAATTGTGTCTATTTCGTCCGACTTTTGGTCTGACTTATGAGCTCTGATCCCGCTGACGCAGTGTGCTTGTGTCTTTGTGTCTGTTGCAGGACGGGACCGGGCTCTCTCTTCAGCGCCATGAGGTCTGCGTCTCTGCGGAGTTTGACTTTCCAAACCAGCTGAAGACACACGGAGGGCACCGGGGCCTGCGCCCCTAAAAGAAGCTTTCACTCTATGCGTTGAGCACATGATAGAGGGACGGCTCAACAGCGCCCCCCTCTCCGGACCCTGCACTGCAGCTGCCCTGGACTCGCGCACTGCGCCTTTACGCTTGAGCACAGGCTCAAACAAGCACATGTTTGGATTTAAGTTTGCATTGGGTTCAATCTGACTGCACCTTTATTTGCTTATACGACGAAAGATGCGGATCGCTGTAAGCGCAAAGGCAAGCTTCTTCATGCAAGAACGGGCCAAACAATCTGTCATTCTTCCCCGGCTCCAGACTGATTTGAATATTAAAATCCAGATCATTCCGTTGTGCTCCTATCCACACAACGTAAACGAAGATACAAAATTATATTAATTGCCCATACAGTCTGGAGGATTTGTTTAAATTATTTAGAACTTTAGGCTAGGTTCAGAAACTTGAGAAGGCCTATAATAATAATATGCTAATATAAGCTTATGCCGATGGGCCTCTTGAGAACAGCTTTAGGTGAGGATTTACAATCAGTAATGTACAACTTAAGGTCACAAATAGGGCTAAAAATTATAATGTAATATCTATACATCTATAAGTTAGTTTATTTCACTGTAATACTAACTAGCCTATTACTTAATTCTATCATTTCGATTTGCAAAAAGTGGCTGAGTTATTTTTCTAAAAGTATTGATCTATAATGATCCATTTCTGAGCCCCAAAAATGGCAACATTTTGCACAAGCGTGTGATGATAATAGGATGTTGAAACGCTGCGAAAGGGAGCTGTTGAACTTTTTATTGCCTCAGTATATGCGTTACTAAATGATCAGCTTGAACTAACAATAGGGAGAGTGTACAATAAAACACAGCACCCGTTTATTCTTAACCATTTTCTCCCCAAATGTATCGTGTGGCTCCTGCAACAAGAAATTCTTCCATGGATCTGAGTCTTGTGTATATTTATGCAATATCGAGCCTGAAACCAACACAGCGTTGTGCCGTAATGCAATAAGTGTCTACATCATATCAGAGTCATGTCGACGGCGTTCTGTTCGCGCGCAGGGCAGATTTGGGTTCAGTTGGAACTGTTTGTTGCATAACATTTAACACAAATTTGAATAATAACAGGGGCTTCTATCCCTGTTGTCGTTTAAGTCTTGCACAACCAATATTAAATCTAATGAAATGAATTAGCGTCTAAATGAATAATACAAAATAAAGGCGAAAAGGGGAATGAGCTAAATGAGTGCCTTGTGAAGCTAATTGGAGAGCAGGCACCGGACATAGAATAATATATGGCTCGCACCAGAGTTCACCTCTCCCCTCCTGACCCTGCGCGCCTCGGGAGCACCACGACCCGGGCAAAAGCATGCGTGTGACCCCGCAGTCTGGACTCAAGTTCTTTCTTTAGTTTTCATTTACTAACAGGCTGCAAGGAGTTTCTTTGTTCTTGCATTGGCTCTCTATGCAACCATAATATTACTTACCGGAAGAGAGCGCATATGTTAATAGTCCGAAAGGCCTATTACAGTTTCACAGCAGCCAGATACGCATTATTCTCACCCAAAGCAATTTTTGCGCTCTGTCTGACTATAGCCTAACAAGGTAATGTACTCGCTCGCTTTACACTGGATGAAGGGTCTTTCATCCAGATTTAAAATAAATAATAATAAAACAAGGTAAATTAAAACTTGAAATGTTTCCCCTTAAACATTATCAGTCAACATAAAAAAAATGTAGAACAATTAATTCCCCCTGCTGGTATATTTCAAGTGTATTTGCTTTGAATAATTAAAAAAATAATCCAACATTAATCACACAAATAATATGCTAAAATAGATTGTGCAGGTCTAACTTTTGACAGTGTAAAAGTTGGTCTATAATGGATCACAATAATTTTATTAGCAGACACTGCTAAAATATCTTGTACTTTCTCTATTTGCATATAAACAAAGTAGAACCCATTAAGTCGGCCTTTCTATAAACAAAGTAGAACAAAGTGGAATGTTTAACAAAACCACTGAATGTTTCCATCTTTTTGATGCAAATACACGAGCACTTGCACAGGTTATGGGCAAATGGAGGAAAAAAAGAAATGAGGAACTTGAGTTATTTCCGTGCCAAGTGAAATTATAAGGCTTGAGATTATTAGGATATATTTTACTTCCTATGCTGCAGTTTATTTACAGGAAATATGCATAACATGATAATCAATAAATTATGTCTAAAATATGCAGTAGTTCTTCAATTGGAATAATTACATTTCCATAGCCCTGTTTTAGTCTTATTTTTCCATATCAACAAAATACCCTTTTGGGCAAAAGTGTGTGATTAAAAATACATCTACTGCATTGTAAACAATGTGCTGCAGAAGTAATCTGTGTTTAAAAAGTGTTATGCATCAAATGCAGTTTCTCATAAAATCACACTTTCAAAAAAAAGTTTGAAATGAAACTGATAAAAATTAGTGACATCTCGGCCACATATAAACATGAATGAAGAGGAGCAAAGGAGGAAGTAACGTGTGACTTATTGGGATGCGATGCAGGTGAAGAGAGGAAAAGATTTATTTATTTATTGTGGTGAACTATGGTTTTCATTTTTTTTCCTGTGTCAGCTGCAGCATTTGCCTCTCAATTGATGAAGGAAGAAGCACATTGTTTGTTCAGACCTGACATTTAGCCGGTGTTGAGTGGGACTGTGTTCTGATGAATTCACGTTGCTCTGTAATCCCTTCCTGAAGTGCGGCAGCTCAGACTGACGGCTGTGTGCACAACGCTCCGTAAAGGTTTTTACTAAAGGCTTAAATCTGTTTCTGCCACAGGTGACTCTCCTCACAAACCTAGTTTATTGTGTTTACATTTATTAATTTCTGCTTTACTCGATTATTTATTTGTTTCCAGAATACAAAAGTTCATATTCTTTGTAAATGGCAGTTTTTTTCTCTTTTTGAAAATGACTGAACATATGTTACTCACAAAACACTTTAAATTACCATGTTGCTTGTTGCTCATGTTTACAAGAATATAACCTGCACAATAAACACGTACTTTAATCTGAGTTCAGCTTGGCCCACTGAATCATGTTTTCCGATTGCTTTGTTCCTGTTGTTATTTCAGTCATTTATTTTATTTGGATTGGCCCTGGTATTGTTTTTCTTTCTTTTCTTGAAATTTGCAAGTACTTTCACGCACTATTGATCTTCATTCATGGCTTCTCCTTCGATTTGACTACCAAACCTCGTACATCAAGAAAGTTGAACTGAAGTGCACCTGTGTCTACGCATATGTGGACGCAATGTGTATACAATTACACAAATAAGTGTTTTGCTTCCTAGGTGCAACTAATAAGGAGCTCAAAAGAATACAAAGCCCCTATTTGAATAATAGTATACTGACACACGCATGCAAACTCACACAAACTCCATACATAACCGAGTGTGACATAGCTACGTTTGGCAACACGTGCACCAATCCTGGTATGCCTTGCTTCTCCCGTTCCACTCCAGGGAGCAGATGTTTGGGGACAGCTTACAGCCTCAGCGAATTTCTGTGCACAAAGCAAATAGCAGTACTCAGCACTTCTAGCTGCAAAAGGGAAATTTGCTCTTGAAAAAAAATAACGGGGGGTGGCCTTGGAGTCAATATAGGTATCATGAGGATGAGTGGAAAGGGAGTAAAGTGAGAAGGGTTCCACACAGGGGTGAAAGTATGTCAAGGTTGTGTGTCGGCTGCATCGCAACTCCCCCCGCCCAAATTTGCTGCAGCTTGTGGGTAAAGAGCGGGTGATCTGGTGCATAAACAGCAGTGTCCCGTGGATTCACAGCACATCAGGAAAATCCAGCAAGGTGGCGCACTGTGATTGTGTGGAAGCTCTCTGACCTCACAGTGCAGCTTTGAACAGTTTCCAGCTTGGACTGCCCTTTCAAAAGTTGCAGACAAGCACAAAACGAGGGGAAAGGGGGAAAACAATGCAATGAGCTTTACACATTTGCTGATACTGCATTTACTCTCAAACATTGTTATATCCTATAGGCAAAGCAAAGCTAATAATGTACTTATTTAACAGCTGTAGTCTTAAGCTCAAGTCACTTTGTCAATTAGCCATTCCAAAAGTACAATGCTGAAATATGTATACAGTACACTTGTACTACAGGTCACAAGCCCGAATGAGATAAACATGGAAGACCATCAGGCATTCCTGCAGAGATTGCAGACACATTTTGACCTCTCATCAGTGTATCATAATCCCTAAACAAACCTTCATCAATGAGCCCTGTGATGCCTATTTGTCTGACTGCAGCCCCCTCCTCTTCTGCCCGGGGGTGCGGTTACCATAGTGACAGATTCATAGACACATGGAGGAGAGATGGGAGGGGGTGGTATCATAGGGGCGGGTGAAGCAGGAGGGAGTGAGGAGAGCAGGACAGTGGGAGGAGAGAGGAACGATACACGTTAAGCACGTTACACTGTCTTTCAGCTGTGTCTTTGCGATTCATCCGTCAGTCATGTGTGGGAACTTTTCTCAATCAGCTCCTGTCAGACGCCATCTTGGCTGTATTTCATGGATGGAGAGGAATGATTCACAGAAGTCACAGAAATGTCTATTTGCAGGAGAAAATAAATCAAAGAAGTCACATTGATTTTCAAAGGGCTGGGAACAGTATATATGACTAACCACCGACTCAAGTGAGGACTCGGGACAATTCTAACAGACTGTGGGAGAGCGGCTCTGAAGAAGCAGTCATGACTGGCCTTGCCACTGTGAAAACATTTTTTTTGGCAGCCATTTTTATGCAAAAGAGAAGAGCAGGTACTTAATCAATGCTCATGCCCACTGTTTGATATTTCATCTTCCTCCCTCCTGGTGCTCTTGTGGACAAACCTGTGTGTCTTCCCAGTACCCTTGCATCCTTCTCCTCTTCCTCCTCCTCACTGTCATTCGTCACTTCCCTTGCTTCCCCTTTGCCTGCTCTCCAACTG